GCTGGCGCCAGCCCAGCATGGCCGCATGCGCGCCGGGGAAGACCTGACGCAGCGGGCCGCCCAGCGTGGGCTGCGCCCACACCGCGGCGGCCAGCAGCCGGGAAGCCAGCGCCCGCGACCAGCCCTCGCCCCGCACCCACTCCACGAAGTTGAGGAGGAGCGAGTCCCACTGCGGGCCCGACAAGGTGCACGGGCAGCGGCCGCCGCCCCAGAAAGTCGGCCAGCGGCTCCAGCACGTCGCAGTAGCCCGCCTGCGTCGCCGGGCGGACGCGCTCCTGCTGCAGACCGGTCAGCAGCGGGGCCAACGGCCGCAGCCGCGCCCGCGTCGCCGAGCGGAGGCGCCCCAGGCGGCTCGAGGCCCGGTGGGCCCCTGGGCCAGAGCGGGCCGAGCGGACAGCCCGCCGCGGTCCACCAAAGCGGATGGGCGGGCAACCCCCAGGGGCGCTCCGCCCAGAGGGGCCGGCGCTCACGGGGCCGGGGGCCGTCGGCGCGCCGGCGGAGCGGCTGCTGGAGGAGCCCGGGCCCGCAGCGCCCTCGACGTCGGAGTCGGGTGGGGCCGCAAGCAGCAACCGCGCCGGCGGCAGGCAGCCGGTGCCGCCTCCGCTTTGCCCCCATGTCGAGGCTGGTGAACTCGGCTCGCAGCGTCCAGGGCGCTGAGCTCCGATGGGGCCCAACGGTCGTAAAGCTTGAGCCCGACGGCGAGGGCGGTGGCCGAGGTGAGCCGGCGCTGAAAGTTCATGGCCGGCGTAGACGACCTGCCCTTGGCGCGCGCAAGGATCGCAGACAGATTGTCACCCAAGAGAAGCACTCGAGAGCTATGGGGGCTGCAATCCCGAGCAACATGGCGTACCGTCCAGGTCCGGGCCCGAGCTTCAAGTTGGACCTGGGGCCCCGGGGCCCCTCTCCAGCGGCCAGCGTAGGCCGCAGTCCGGCCGCGCTCGACCAGGTCCGCCGGGACCTCGACAAACGCCCGGGCCCGACCCAGGCTCAGGATATTGGCCTCCGAAACCCCAGCGATCTCCAGCTCCTCCCGATGCTCGAGGGCCCGGGGCCGCGGCGCCTCCGAGACACTGAGGAGGCCACGAAACCGGGCCCGTTCACGAACGCAACCCACTGCGGCGACTCACTCGGCTCCCAGTGCGCAGACCCGACTCCAAAGCCCCAACAGTAGGCGTCGTTGCCGAAGACCCGACTCGACCAGGGCCGACGCATCGACGCCCGCGCCAGCGGAAGCAGAGCACGTATCCACCGAACTTCGCGATGTACAGACGGCCACAAGGTCTGACGGCGGGTGTAACACTCGTGAATGAACACATAGGTCGACATTTTCCATGATGCACAAGAGTTCAAGGGACAGCGAAAACAAAGCCGTGGCATGGCCCACGAAACGCTCGAGCTCCTGCCCCGCGATACTCGGTCGAACCTCCAAGAGATAATCCGACGCCAACTTCAACCTCCAGAACCGACTAGATTTAGGACGCCACTCACCCGAGAAGCCCACCAGTGTGAAACCTATGAAGTCATTGTCCCCCGCCTCCGAGATCTCCAGGGTCGACGCGATCCCGAGGTCCGCGATCCGAGGCTGCATCCCCAAGACGTCCGAGGTAGCAACCGACTTACTATGGGCCAGGGAAACGAAGTTGTCGATATACAATCCGCGCAACGACCCAACGTCGCCAAGAGGTGGAAGCGGAACTTTATCAAGATGCCACGGGGCCTCGGGGGAAACTCCATCTAGCTGGTACTGGTTCGCGGCCTGTACAAGGGCCACAGCCCAATTCCAACCCATCGGCACCACGCGGGCCCGCACGCGAGCCCAGCCACGATCCCGAACCGCGTCCGGCAGAGAAGCGACGAGGGACGGGGACAGGTGCGCAATGGGAAGGGATGGCAGGCCGAAAAAAAAAAAACACCTGTGCTGTTCAGGGAGAGCGAACTGACAATAGCAAACTTCGACGTCGCCCCCGTGCAGCACGGGAATCACACGAGGCTGGCATTCGAGATGAGCAAGGGCCTCGCCGGAGGGCAAGACCACACCAGGGGGCTCGCGAAACCGAAGGTTAGGCACGCGAGCATCCCAAATCAGGCGAAGGGCGCCTGATTTTTTTCGAACGAAAAACGTGCCACTCTCTTCGGGCACATCGTCGCTGACCTCCACAACGCCAGCCTCCCAGAGCTCGGAAACGAACTCTCCAAAAAGTTTAGGGTTGCCCCGCAGAACAGGATCAAGGAACAGGCTGCCATCAAAACTCTCACGACGGGCGGCAGCCTCGTCCTCAGAAAGAAGGATTGAACGATCTTCAAGCGCGGACTGCAGGGCAGGCGGCATGCACTCACTCAGAGATACTCGCCCAGAATGCCCCGCGGGAAGCGACGCGTTCCCTCGCTCGAGAATCGCGCGAGCACCGACGGCCAACACGTCGTCCGTGTAGCCGGGCCGCGAGCCCTGGAGCGACTGCCACGCTCCCAGGGAGCTCCCGCAGTCAGGCGGAGGAGCCGCGACCGATCCATGCTGCCGGGCAAGGTGTCGGACGGCTGAGACCTGAGCTGAAGTCAACGATGCAGGCGAAGTAGGAGGCGGCTGCGGCGCACCCAGCTCATTCAAGGCGCGGATCCCCTCGAACAGCCACCCCTCCTGGGCCCGTCGACGCCGAAGCCGCCGTCGCTGACTCTGGGACAAGCCCAGCCCGCTGGCACCTCCAGCACAGACCTGCGAGGCGGCGGCCAGGGAGATCGGCAGGACATCGCGCTGCCTCATCTGCTGCGAAGCTGAAATCGCCTCAGGGCGGCCCCACCTGCCAGCTCTGAACCCCTCACGAAAGCCTTCGAGGTGGCGGGGCACTCCCCCTCGTGGCGGCACAAGACAAGAGGAAGATAGGCCGTCAGGCCTTCTCCTTCTCTTTGCTGGGACCTTTGGGCTTCTTCTTCGATTCGGCCGCTGCAGGTCCCGTCTCAACTCCTCTAGCAAGCGAAGCCTCCTCCCTCGCCTTGCGGCGCTCCTTGAGCACAGCGGCCCGGGAGGCCAACTCCTTCGCCACGAAGTCCTCCAGCTCGGGCATGATGATAGCGCTACTCCGAAGATTCTTGACACCCAGGAGAAGAGAACGCTCATTCAGCCAGTCGTCGCCACCCGAGCCGCCGGTGTCCACCTCGCGAAGTAAATCCTTGTACGCACTCTCCAACATCTGGTACCGGCGGCTGACCAGCTCGAAAGTCGCCAAGTTGCAGATCATCGCGACCTCGATGAGCTGGGACAGCAGCAGGTGCTCGTCCACGCCCACGTCGGTGGCCGACAGACCCATCACCGAGCGCCACCAGTAGTGCCGCTGGACGGGGCTGTGGTTCCCGTCGTGGGTCCGCTCCGCCGTGAAGTAGGCCGACCGAGGGCCCTCGATCTCCCAGCTATCCTTGAACTCAACGAGCTGCATGTCCTGCAAGGCGCTCGCGAAGCTGCGCCGGAAGCGCCGCTGGCCATCCTGCTTGGCGGGCAGAATGCGGGAGTCGTCACCTCCCCCACCGCCAGGGGCCGCGGGCAGCGTGCCCTCGAGCCCGCCGGTCAGCACCGTGCCGTCGAGCAGCTTGAAGAGGCACCGGTCGTTGGCGCTGACCTCGACCGACCCGAGAGCGGCCGTGAGAGCGTCGCCCCGCTGCACGGCGCCTCGGCCCTCCAGCGCAAACCACTTCTCCACCAAAAGGGCGGCGCCCTCAGCGGGCACGAGCGCGCCCGGGCCCCCGTCCCCGAGAGCCGGGCCTGGCGCCGCCGGCGCGGCGGGCCGAAGGCCCCGCGCGAGCGCCTCCCCCGTCTCCATGTAGCACTGGCGGTCCTGGCCAAACTGGTAGTGATCGATCAGGAAGTGTGGAAGCCCACGAAGAGCAGCAGGCAGCTGTCCGTGGGCCAAAAACTGCCGCAGCCCATCGGCGTCGGCAAAATCCTCCTCAAAGATATCGAAATCCCGCGAAATAGCGACCCACTTGGAGCCGCTGACGTGGCCGAGCAGGACGCGCTCATGCCACTCCACTGCCGCCCCGCCCGCGTCCTGAAAGTAGCAGACGAGGGCCCGGTCGCCCGGGCGGGCTGCCTGGAACCACGCTGGCGTCGCCATCCTCGCACGCGAGTGTCAGGACAGTGTCGTCAAACGATGAAGAAGAACTCGAACTCCTGCGCCCTGAGCTGCGACCGAACACCAGTCCGAACACAAAGGCCGTAAACGAGAAGATCGTCAGAAGCACGAGCACGCTGAGAAAGCCAAACCCGTCGACGCTCTTGGAGTGGCAATGGCAGTCACACTGGCAGATGCACTGGTTCGCACGGCCGACCAACTCTGCCAAGAGGCGGCACTCCCCGCTGGCGGTGTCCACTGGGGGTGGTGCCTCACAGAAGCACTCGACGGGTGCAGGCCACAGGAGAGTGCGAAGGAAAGCAAGCTCGCGAATCGTCGAGAAGCCGAAGAGCAGAGCTTCCATATGGTTCCTGTCTTGAACCAAAAAGCGCTACAGAGCGCAGAACGGATGACGAGGTCGGGTCATGACCGTGGGGCACAAATATCATCATCATCATCATCATCATCATCATCATCATCATCATCATCATCATCATCATCATCATCATCATCATCATCATCATCATCATCATCATCATCATCATCATCACCATCACCATCACCATCACCATCATCACCATCACCATCACCATCACCATCACCATCACCATCACCATCACCATCACCATCACATCACCATCACCATCATCATCATCATCATCATCATCATCATCATCATCATCATCATCATCATCATCATCATCATCATCATCATCATCATCATCATCATCATCATCATCATCATCATCATCATCATCATCTTTCTCTTCCCACTGCATCTCCTCCCTCGTGCGCACCCTCCCCCGCTTCCTTCGTCCTGCTCGCCCTCCTCTTTCATCATCACCGCCCTACTCCTGGTCGCCCTACCTCCTCCACCAATCGCCGCCGGGCCGACGCCCGCCTTGCCGTCGAATCGGCCCTTCTTCGCAGGCTGCGACGGTGTCCCCTTGCCCGCGGACTTGCCACCTGGGAGGCGGGGCGTCAGAAACCCAGGAGGGCCCCTGTGCTCTACAGAAAAGAGAACTGGACAGAGAGAGAGAGAGAGAGAGGGAGAGAGAGAAAGAGGTAGCAGAAGGACCAAGGCCCGCCTTGAGGGACGACGGAAACGGAGTGGTGGAGGGCTCATGCGCCCCGCAGGAAGCAAGGAGGAGAAAGACAGAGAGAGAGAGAGAGGGAAAGACATGGAGAGCGGCAGGAACAGGGGCAGACGCGGAGGGATGAAGAGTGATAGTAGCAGTTGCAGGAGGGGCCGGGCGAAGAGAGGACAGTTAACGTATGCCAGGGAGGGTTGGGGGGATGGAGGAAGATATAGAGGGAAGGAGGGGGGAGAGGATTGAGAGCACGCAGGGGGGCTCGGGGAGATGATGGCGCGAAGGGAGGCATGGAGAGAGGCGAGGGAACAGGACAGGGGTGTTGGGCTTGCCCCGCTCTCTCCATTCTGTCCTCTCAACGGACACGCATGAAGCATGAATCACGTGATCTTCCATTGCGCATCCAATGATTATGAGAAGCCACACGCATCAATGGTGTGCGAGATCTCACATAGGCAGTGAAGACATGACAATAAAGGTAACTAAGATGAACGAACTCTCCGAGAAAGTGCTGATAACTACTACAAAATAAGACAATGTGCGCGCCTCTGTCCACCGCGCTGGCCTTCCTCTTCCTGCAAGGCGACAGATCACTGAACGATGCTTCCCTGCTCTCAATCCCTGCGCCTATCAATTATTCGATCAACGACCGACCGAAATGGTATCCCCTTATAGGCCTGCGCGACATGACTTATACCAGAATGATGTTGTACTGGATCGCATGTGCTTAGAACATGCGACTGAAGTCATACAACGCAACTACCTCAGCCCGAAGCAATAGAAAAAACATGCGAGAGACAACGCGCTTCGTGGACACTTGCCTTGAACAAATCCCTGGACGAATCGGGACTAGGGGGGGGAGCAGAGGTGGGGGGGGCAATAGCGCGCCCGGAAAACCGGGAGGGGGGACGGGGCCGGGCATCGGCCTCTCTAGCGGGGGGGGACCGGCGGGCCCTTGAAGGGAAGGGGGGGGGGCTCGAACCAGACGGTCACCGTGCCGCTGGGCACGGAGTGGGCGTGTCCTCAGTTCCATTGCCTAATCTCTTAAGGGTTCCTGAGGAATCTTCGCAGAGGCCCGGACCCCAAACTGCCAAATCTTCTTGGGCTTCTCACGTGCTCAGTGGTGTTCCCGGCACCAGCTCACATGCCGAACGATCGCACCAAGACGCCCAAGATGGCCCGCAGATGGTCCACCAGGCCTCCAAGACGCCTCCAAGAGCCTTTCCCAAGAGGGCCCCGAAAGGCAAACATAATTGATTGTCCATGGGTTGTTCAATGATTTGGGGGTCCTCGACTTTTCGCGCTCCCGACGCGCCAAGACGGCCCAAGAGGCCCCCAGGAGGGCCCCAAGACGGCCCAAGAGGCACCCAGGAGCCCCCAACACGGTCCAAAAGGGCTTCCAAGACGGCCCCAGAGGCGCCCAAGACGGCCCAAAGACAGCCCAAAGAACGACTCAAGAGGGGGAACACGAACCCCAAATCCGAGTCTTCCGCTCCAAGAGGCCCCCAGGAGGCCCCACGAGAGGCCTCCCGGCAGCCCAACGAGCATCCGAAAAGCATATGACCCACAACCCAGGCACGGTGGCGGGATGGGCCGAAGGCCATTCGATCCGCCGCCCCCTGTTGATTTATCACAGGTGTACCTGGCGCGCTGAACCCCATACGGCCCGGCTCGGCTTTGGTTCTTTTGCTGAAAGACCTCCCCCCGGGGCTTCGGCCCAGCGCGCTGGGGTGACCCTCCGGCTTTTTCTGTCAAGATTGCCTCAACATGGCCTCCATGACGGACAAGTTGCCTCCAAGACGGCCAAGAAGGCCCCAAGAGAACCCAAGATAGCCCAAGATGGCCTCCAGGATGCCTTTGCGATCGCCAAGATGGCCCAATAGAGCCTAAGACGGCCCAAGAAACGCCCAGGATGCCTTGAAGATGGCCAAAGATGCCTCCAAGAGGTCTTCCAGGAAGGCCCGAAGAGGCCAACATCATCGGAACACGCCAAAGATGGCCCAAGATCCCCCAAAGGTCGCCCCAAGATAGCTCAAGTGGCATCCACGATGGCCCCAGAACGGCCCAAGAGGCCCCCAAGACGGCCCCAAGAGGGCCCGAAGACGGCCCAAGAGGCCTCCAAAACTACCAAGATGGCCTCCAAGACGGCCCTGGAGCATCCCAAGAGGGCCCCAAGTCGGCCCAGAGAGGCCCCCAAGACGGCTTTCGACGGCGTCAGACGGGCCAGGAACACCCTAAGACGGGCAAAGAGGCCCCCGAGAAGCCCCCAAAGGTCCCAAAGAGTGCCACCAGAGGCTCCCAGAGCCTTTCCCAAGAGTGACCCCTGGATCACGATGCTCCTGCTTGGCATCACAAGCGCGGGGATCCGTCCGCACGCGCAGCCTGCGTCGCCCTCGGCGGCCGGGGGCAACGCGCGCGCCGACGATGAGCGTCGACAGGCTCCAACCGCCACGCGGCGAGAGCCAAAGGAAAACGGGCCTAGGGAGGGCACCTGGGAGGGACATACCCAAGAGAAAAACTTGAACCCAAATGGGCCGCGGAGATCTCTCTCCCCAGGCACCCCCCACTAAAACCTTCCGTTCTAAACTGCGCGCGAACACCCACGTTTGAGTGGGCCCACGCCTGGATAACCAACAAACGGGCGCGGCGTGCGCCCGCTCCCCAGCATCGCGATGCTCCTTGACGGCATCACGGGCGCGGCGATCCGTCCGCGCGCGCAGCCTGCGCCGCCCTCGGCGGCTCTCTGGCCACCTCCACTCCTCTCCTCCTCGGGGGCCGCGCTGGCGGACTACGCCCCGACGCCTCACCTCCACCTCTCCTCGGGGACCGAACTAGCGGACTGCGCCCCGTCACCTCACGGCTGCGCTGTGCCTCTGGCGCTGCCTCGGGTCAGCGCCCCCTGACTGCTGACGATCCTGCGCTGGCCCGTGGCAGCTCCGCTCCACGGCGTCATGCCCCCCTGGCTCTGCCTCGGGTCAGCGCCCCACAAACTGCTGACAATCCCGCGCCGACCTGCAGCAATTCCGCCCCCTCATCCTTCTTTAGGCGCCGCGCGGCCTCCAGCCGCCAGGGCCCTGTGCCCCGCGTGCAGGGTCGCCGCCGACTTGGCCATAGCCTCTTGGACTCCTGCCGCGCCCTCGCTCGCCCCCCAAAAGTACTGGTGGAGAGTCCCACTGCTCCACTGCCCCCACCGCTTCACTGGCTCGGTGACCTGGAAGTCGCGGTGCATGCGGACTGCGCCACTGGAGCTAACTCTGGGGGCCACGAAACGCTGCGCTGGGGGGGGGGGGGGGCGCATGCGAACTGCGCTACTGGGGCCTTCGGTGGAGCTCCCTCAAGGGCCACGAAGCGCTGTGCTGGGTGGGGGAACCGCGTGCGGACTGCGCCACTGGGACCTTCGGTGGAGCTCCCTCTGGGGCCACGAAACGGCGTGCTGGGCGGGGGAACACAACATGCGGACTGCGCCGCTGGGACCTTCGGTGGAGCTCCCTACGGGGCAACGAAACGCAAGGCTGGGCGTGGGAACCGCGCGCGGACTGCGCCGCGGGGACCTTCGGTGGAGTTCCCCCTGGGGCCACGAAATGCTGCGCTGGGCGGGAGTGGGGGGGGGGGGGGCCCGCGCCCCTTCTGGGGCCGCGGAGCGCCGTGGTGGGTGGGGGATTCGCATGCGGACTGCGCCACTGGGACCTCCCGCGCAGCTCCTTCCGAAACGATGTGCTGGGGGTAGCGGAGCGATGTAGCTGGCGGGGGAGAGCGCATGCGGACTGCGCCGCTGGGACCCTCTGGGGCCACGAAGCGGCGCTCTGGGCGGGGGGGGGAGAGAGGGAGGGGGGCAAGCTAGGTGCGCTCGCGTCATATCTGACATCCAACCCTTCCCTCCCATCCCTCACAATGGCGTAGATCCCCTCTCTACTCGCACAGTCTGATGTCGAGCAAGGCAATGATCCCGAAAGGGTACGCGATGCGTTGTAAAACACGGCATGGCATGGCGTAGAAGAGCACCGCAAAGCGCAGTATCAACCTAGCATTGCATTGCATGCCGTGGCATGGCACGGCAAATGACGCCACCGCTGCAGCGGGAGCACGAGTCGGAACGAGCGGAAGCGCGGAAATGTGGCCAACGCTGCAGCGGGAACGCGATTCGAAACGAGCGGAAGCACGGAAATGAGGCCAGCGCTGCAGCGGGAGCACGATTCGGAACGAGCTGGGCCCGAAAATGAGGCCGGCGCATCAGCGAGAGCAGCATTTTGGGGAACAAATGTAGGCGATAACCCAACTCCGGGGAATCCTGCGTGTGAGAAAACAATACGCGGGGGGGGCTAATACTTTCAAACCGTCATCAAGAGAAGAGGGAGAGTAGTATTCATATTGAGTAATTGTGGAGGGAGTGAGGGAGGGAGAGGAGGAAGAGGAGGAAGGAAGGAGGTGGGACGCGGCTCGCTGTCTCTTCAGGACGAGGACCCAGCGCCACTGGATTGTTGGGAAAATCATCCTGGCGAATGACCCAACCGCATGCACTTGCGAATGACGCAATTGTTGGCCTCGTCCCCGGTGGAGCTCTTCATGGGACGCGGAACGTGCGAGGGGCGTGCCAACGTTGGGCACGGCGGTGTCATGCGAGCGCAGCTGCTGGTGAGCGCAGCCGCTGGTGCCTTAGGTGGAGCTCCTTGTGGGGCCGCGAAACGTGTGAGCGGTGTGCCGAAATGGGTGCGGTGGTGCCATGCGAGCGTAGCCACTGGGGCTTTCGGTGGAGCTCCTTGTGGGGCCACGAAACGTGTGAGAGGTGTGCCGAACTGGGCGCGGTGGTGCCATGCGAGCGCGGCCACTGGGGCCTTCGGTGGAATTCCCCATGGGGTCACGAAGCGTGTGAGGGGCGTGCTGAAATTGGCGCGGTGGTGTTATGCGAGCGCAGCCAATGGCGCCTTCGGTGGAGCTCCCTGCGGGGCCACGGGATGGGTGCGGTGGTGTTATGCGGGCGCAGCCACTGGGGCCTTCGGTGGAGCCCCCTCACGGGGCCACGAAGCGCGCGAGGGGTGTGCCCAGACAGAAACATGCGGAGGGCAAGGGCAAAGAGGGGGATGGAGGAGGGGGGGGGGCGGGAGGTGACGCGGGACGCTGTCTCTTCAAAACGAAGACCCAACACCCCAGGATGGTAAGGAAAAAGGGTCCTCAGGGAGTGGTCCTGTTCGGCAGCTTCGAGTGTTGCGCTGCGCGTTCCTGCTCAGTGGAGGTTAGCGCGTTGGCCGTCCTGCAGAATTAGCGCTGCTGGAAATCGGTGCTCAAAAATATTTCATGTGGATCGGGGCTCTTGCGCGTGCCGGCTCGACCTGGTCACGATCCAGCTCGTCGTTTTTGCCTGGCGAGGGGCAGAGCAGGGATCCCTTGCTGCCAGGCGCGGGCCGACCTCGAGGGCATCAAGATCTGGCGGGGGCGTTGCTGCTTGCGCCAGCGAGTTGGAGTGGCACCAAGACGGGGGAAGCGAGCCAGAACGAGCTGCGTGTCACGCGGCTGCGATCCAATTGGACTGTCGCGGCTCTGTGGGGCCTCAGTCGCGGCCATTTCAAAGTGCTGAAGG